TGTGTCTGTGTGTGTCCTGTGACAGACTGGTGTCCTGCCCAGGGTGTGTGTCTGTGTGTGTCCTGTGACAGACTGGTGTCCTGCCCAGGGTGTGTCCTGCCTTGTGCCTGTTGCTTGCTGGGATAGGCTCCGGCTCCCTCTTGACCCTGATTTGGGTGGTGTGGTTAGTGGATGGATGGAGATCCGCTTGTAAGTGGAATTTCAATGTGTTACCACTGATGACAACGGCAGTCAGTAGTGAACTCACCCACAAAGCATATTTGAACATATACAGAACATGTCTTGAATTGTGGTTTAGTAAGGACTTAATGAACCAAGTGTTAAATCTGCAGGGAAAATACGTTCTTAAGACAATAGTCTGAATTAAGAAAGACGATATTGAGAAAATTCTCAATACAAAGGCAGCTTATGAAAACATCAGGATCAATACCTGAGCAACTTCACTGTTCTTGCTTTAAATTGCCTAAGCAACACAAGCATACAAACACAGCCAATACATTTATTTTGTGGTCTGTATAATGTTCATATGTTCACAAGAACACAAAGAGGGAAACTTCAACACCGATTTTTAAAAATAAAATAAAATCCGAAAGTGCAAATCTTTTGCACACAATTCCCTACCAGAGATTTTACTCAAGTCAAGCACTTGAGTTTTGTTATTTTGACTTTCAGAAACAATAATTCTACTTAAAGTTTGAATGTCAGTAGTATTGTCCACATATCGTAATTTGCACCAGTCTTGTTCTGCAGGAGTTGAGAAATCTGGACTGCGTCTATTCTGTTACCATGCAGAGAATGAAACTGCAGGTTTGTTTTGCAGGTCTCTGGGATGCATACTGTATGAGATGTGCTGTTTGGAGCATGCATTCACCGGCCATAATTTCTTATCTGTTGTCATGAAAATTGTGGAGGGGAAAACTCCGGTCCTGCCAGACAGATATTCAGAAGAGCTTAACTCGATCTTACAGGGGTAAGGTTTCTCGACCTACTTTCTTTGGTGTAACAAGAAATCAGTATCACTCAAGAAATACGTTTTGCCCACTGTTAATGGAAGAAAACATCTGGACTCATTCTTACAAGGCAATCTTAAACTCTATTATATACAGTATGTCAGTTCAGATAATAATTATACATTCACTTGAGACAAAGAATGGCTAGATCTTTTTATAGTCTGAAACCAAAATGGTGGGGCTGCACATTGGTGGTGGTGGAGGGGAGTCCCCATTACCTGTAAAGCGCTTTGAGTGGAGTGTCCAGAAAAACGCTATATAAGTGTAAGCTATTATTATTAATAAAATAATTTGACAGCAATTCATGTAACATATACACTTATAATAATCATAAATAATTTCAATAAATTGCAAAAAACAATAAAGACGACAAGTTAAATTGATCAACTAATTGCTGTTTCATCAATGAAAATATATTTTGTTGAATTACTTTGATTTAAAATGGATCTGTGGGTCCTTCGATGCACTGCATTTAAAGATCAAATGGTGAAATGTTTGTAAAAAATCTTTCACTTAGCTCTCAAAACGTTGTGGATTCTAAAGGCGATTTAACACTCGTGTGGTTTATCTCTTACCAAAAACGTTTGGTAAGAAGTCTCTCTTCCGTTGTCTACAATAATCTTAAGTAATTGCACTGCTGTGGACTCTGCGGTCTGCCAACAGGAGAGGCTCTCCAGAGCGCAGTTTGCAGAGTAACCTTTTATTTTCTCACACTCTTCTTTCCAAAAGCGGATCCGTTATAATTATGAAAAATAGCTTTGGGCATGCATACCCTTTAAATAGTGTTTTATAGGTGATGTGTAGTTATATCCTTGGGGATTTCATGGGCTATAACACTGACAAATCAAAGTAGTTCCATTGAAATATGTTTGTGCTCAGTACCATTTAAGTGTACAATCCTCATTATACGGTTCTGTGGGTTGTTCAGACTGTGTCCTACATGTAACATTACATTTTAACATTTTTTTATTACTTTATTGTCTATCCAAAAGGGTGATTTTTTTTATTTTATCAGCATCAACATAAAAAACTACAAACATTACAATGTAGCAATACAACAATATAGTACTGTACATGTACTGCATACACAGTACACACATCTTTCTCTGCCCATATTACACTAACATTGTATTTGTCAGATTCATATAGAAAGCAGTCACTTAGCTGTGTTTAATACACCAATTGCACAGGGAACAAAAGATTGCTTGGATACATTTTCTAGGCCATAGGCACTCTAAAAACCTCCCTGAAGGTAGCAGTTGGGAATGAAGAGGGTGGGAGGGGTCACCAACAGTAAGCTGAGATTTCCTTTAAACTGCAGTACAATACAGCTCTTTAAGCTGTTTCTGTGGTCAACAAAGCTTTTGCCTTTTGTAACATCATGCATTTACTTTCTCAAGGGTTTAACAGCACTTTGCTCTCGTACAGTGATAGTATACCAGAGTAAAACTCTAAAGGGGTTCCTGTTTTAATACAGTCCTACCAAAGCCAAGCTTCCAAGCTTTTCTTCCCTCAGTGCGCAGTAGCAAACAGGGAGTTCAACTTTAATCAGCAAATTAAATCAGGGTTTTTTTGTTTCAGTCAGTACAGAAGAATTAAATGATAATCAAATTTATTATTCGCTGCCAGCATATACATGAGATTAAAAATGTTATTATGGCACCACGAAAAGGTTGTCTAATGCCTAGGGTTTCTCTGTTATTAGCATGCTGAACAAGGATCCTTCATTAAGACTGTCGGCTGCAGATATCCTGAAAATGAAATTCATTGAGGAGCACCTACATGTAAGTTTGTATTGACATTTGTGTTGTGAATTAACATCCAATAGAAGATAATATATCAGTTCTTTTTTCAAAAGCATAATCCGTGCAGTTTTTTTCTGCTCTCAAACTGCACCGCTCCACCAATAAATGAAAATGATTATTTTTGTAATTTACTATTTATTTATTATTATTTCACCGATAAATTAAGAACTAATAGGGAATCCCACCCTGTCACCACTAAAATATTTGTCCACACTCACATTTTGCACATACTATAGGAAATTTGTACATTTCACTCCAAATATTAACCTACTAGATCATTTATGTTTATTTTGTTTTTCAGCTCTGGGAAAGTGGGTCCTCTCATTTCAAAAACCTTTAGGCTTGAATTATGGACTGCTTAGGCATTGAATGATTTTAACCAATAATGGCTGCATTTTATTTAGCAAAATACAAATGAATACATAAATAATAGATACAGTAGCTGCCCTGGAATCATTACTCAGGAAAGATGGAGAACATGTCTGGTTTGAAGTGAGAATACAGTTCAGGAGATTTGTATTTGTCGCAGTGCCTTAGTAGTTTTCTCAGATCCTTCTGCTGATAGAGCTCTTGAGTGCTGCAGATTGATCTTGTTAGATCTCAGAATGTGAGTAAGGCAGGGCCTGGCCAGCACTCGGATGGAAGGAAGATTGAAGGAAGGAGTCAAAGGAAGATTAGGCTGCTGCCATAAGTAGGACTGGAAGACCAGTAGGTGGTGCTGTTCCCTCTAGAGCAGAACATCTAAACCAATGACCCAGTGTGGTGACAGGGGACGCTGCTGTAGAAGTGCTGACTTTTAGAAATGTTCAGAACGAGGACCTGACTGCTTGGTTATTAAGAAATCTGTGGCATTATTTTTTAATCAGTGGGGGGTGGTTTCTCTAGTATTCTGGGTGAAATCCATTCTCAGCACAACCTGGCCTGCCTAGATTTCACCCTGAATTCCACTGGTGAAGTTCGTAGGGAGCATATTGGATGCTGCCCTTCAGTGGTCTGGTATGGGTCTCCTACTGTATATCTGAAATACTCTGAGACCCTTTGAGATGAAAATCAATTATTAGTGTAAAATGATCAGAGACAAGAAAAAAATACGTTTAAAGACATTCGAGTGCTACACTGCGTCTAATTTTACTTACTGTGGCACTGGGGCTTATTAGGAATTCTTATGGAATTAAAATGATATTTCTTGTAATACATAGGCTTAATGATATCCTTAGGCTTGTTATGTTATTGCGTGATGTCAATTTAATTTGACTTAGAAAAATCAATGTTTCCATTCTGTTTTGTTCTTAAGAGCAGTTTACTCTTTGCTAGATAAACCAGCCTTAGAAATATTTTGTACAATGCAACAAAATTTCTCCTGTGTTGTACAGAGATTTTTGAAAGCATCAAACTGTTAAAAAAAATAACACACACTACCAAAGAATGCTTCACAAAATACAGGCTTAAGAAGAAGTTTTTTTTCTTGATTGCAGTTCTCCAGGCTATTGTTTTATTGTCTGTGTTTCGGAAACCTATTATTAGGTTATTATTATTAATGTTTTTTTCAGAGCTGAACCTGAGCTTTGTGATACTATGCAAATCTTTTTTCACGTAGTAGAAACAAAATTATTAGGAACTTTTTATACATTTTGGCATGTCCTGCTTTTATTCACAAAATGTTTAAATAGCAGATTTTAAGTTATTTATGAATAGTGAAATATACCTTGTTTGTGTTCCAAAAAAGAATTATGCCAAATTATGCATTCTGTTGGTGACTTCTGTATATTCAAAAACCCTTTCAGGACAGCAGGCAGAGCTTGTCAGGTTTCTGTTGACTTCCTTTTAGTCTTGCAGCCTTGAATTCCGAATGCTCAGATGTCACATTGACTGATTCTCTTTGTTCCAGAATATAAAACACAAGTTCTCAAGCATGACACTGAAAGAAAAAACAGTGAACTGTAAGAAAGAAGCTGCTGAAATTAGGAATGCGTTGTAAGTACACGTTTCTGTACTCAGAGTGAAAATACAATTTCTAAACGTTTGCGTTTATCAAGGCCTACCCAAAACCTCAAAGACCTTCATTTTCAGAAACCTCAAGCCTTGCACATCAGTTCCTGAAACATATAGCTTACGCCTGCAATTTAAGTGGCTCAAGTAGTAGCAGTTCTAATGAGGAATAAATCTGTGAATTTGCTGACTTGTGAAGAATGTAATCCTCTGTTTATAAGTAACATATATGAAAATTGAAATGATTGAAATATAATCCGAAGATAAGGTTTCAACTAAATATCATCCAGAATCGTTTATACCGGTTCATTTTCACAATGAAGGTACTGTATGTCATAATGGTTTGTGCTGAGCATGAAAAATGCAGCTGTGAATAGCAGTTCTCACAGCACAGACTCTGTCCAGTCAATGTAAAAGTCAGAATTTGTGACTCTTAACTTGTCCACTATTTGTAAGAATAAATGACCCCCCAAGACAGGTCGTATTTTCACAAATATTAATACAAACTCTTAATACTTAGATTTCCTCCCTAAAAAATCATTGGTCTGACTGGTAATACACTCATACCGAACTACAAACAACATTCAGTAAGTGGATTCACTGGACAAGCTCAGCACTGTCTTATTATCTGCTGTGTTTGTAACAGATTGGATTCAGAGGATAAAATTGGTCTTTTTTTTCAATTTTCTGGACAAAGTGTACACTGACTGAATGTGACGTGAAATATACTTGGCTCTCATATTTTGGAGAACTAGGCTGCGTACGTACTGTGTAGAATAGATACAAAACCCTACCAAGGCTGGTAAAATCTTTCTTTTTAAAATACTCTGAACTCTGATTAATTGGGCATTCTATTAAAGGTGAGCTGTAAAATGATAATGGAGTGTGCCTTCGGTTTTCCATTGTCCCTATCATTTATTCTTGAGCTGTTCTTAATCTGGTGACCCTAGGCACACAGAAATCCCAAAGGAGTAATGGAAATAATCTAATATATGTCTGTGAATGTATTTCTCAGGAAGACTTCTGTACTTGAAACATCATCAGTGTCATTGACAGTTATGTTTTAACAGTTTGTCATTTTAGCTACTCACAGAAAAAAAAAAGTCTTCCGCCCATGTTTGCTTTCTTTGTGGGCATTGTTTTTTTTGTGTGATATTTACAAACAATGTGGGATGCAGTTATATTCCATGTTATGTGAAGACAAGCCTATTTGTGTATTAGTATATCAAACGTGTATATTTTAAGCACTGTTTTTATATTGTGTCAGTTTTATATATGTAGCTATACAAAGGAGATAAAAATAGGTAACCCTAGGTCATGTGATTGCATGCCTAATTTAGGATGTGCTAATGAAGAGATATGCTCAGGGATTTTACATTTATTCTTTGCACACGTTACTTATGCTTCCATTCACAAGTTTTTTTTTCCTATATAATTTTCAATGATTTGAAAAGAATCTCAACAACTACGAAGGAGTGTGTCAAATTCATTTATAAGTAAAAATATCTCATTTAACCTTGCATGCTAAAAGGGGTGGGTTAGTTACAAAACACCCACATTTGCAACAGCTTAAATATAACTGTGATGCAAAATAGATTATTTTCATATCCGTGCATGTAACTAGAATCTCTCCATTGACATGCTTATTTAAAAGCCTCTAAAATCATTGCTAATGCTTGACACAGATTGAAAGTTACTTCCCTATAGTGAATTAATAGTGTTAATAGCTGCCAGTAAATGACCTTTTCTCACTAAAATATGTAAGATTCTACACAGTACTAAACGATATAGATTGAATTAAGAATAGTCATGATTGTGTGCAGTATTAAAGACACTTGCAATCTATTTGTGACCACGCCAAGAAATTAGTGAAATGTACTGTGTAGAATTCTCTGAAGGTATGCATTTTCAGCTCGGCTGGATTATATATGCCCGGTAGCAACGAATGCAGAAAATGTTAACGCTGAGGGACATTGTTTTCACTCTGGAAATTTCTGTCGCTTCTGTCTCCAAACCCCCCTGTGATAACGAAGATGCGCCAGGTGATCACACAGCACCGGAAGCTGTGCTCTGGCTTGCTTCATTTAAAGTGCTTAAACGCCGCGGTGTGTTCCTTCCAGGCAGAAAAAGGTCCACCTGGAAACTCTGCGGGAGCAGTCAGAAGTTCAGAAAATGACACCCAGGGAGCGCATGAGACTGCGGAAGTTACAGGCAGCAGATGAGAAAGCCAGAAAGTTAAAGTAAGGCCTGCGAAGTTTGTTCTGTGGGTTCGAGCACAGCTGATGCACTACGGGCAGCGATCTGCAGAATTAAGAGTTTGGTTTGAATAACGAGAGAGGAGAAAATTGAGACGCCAAGCTTGCTTGCTCGCTTGCCACTAAGTTTTGTCTCAAGGGAAAATCCCGGGGCAATTGCCCAATTGAGAAAATAAATTGGGGTTTCTCATCATTTAACAGAAAGGTAATTGAGGCATATTGTAACATGTTCTGATCTTTAACTTGATACAGTTCTTTGCTAGAAAACAATGAAGATTTTTTCCGAGATTTCTATAGGCAGAAGCAGGTTTCTTAAAAGAAATTGAAATATCATTCCTCGCTAATGCAAAACACAGACACCACCATTCTAAAGCTATTCACCTTTAGACAGTTCATAAATAATAAATAATAAATGTAAATCGGGCCTGATTTTCATTTGTTCAACAGGCAGCTTGCTGAAGAAAAATATCAGGAGAATTGTCGCCGAATACAAGAATTCCGGTCCCGAAACTTTCAGAATGTCAGTGTGGACGTTCTGCATGTAAGAGCTGTACAGCTATTTTTTTAGCTTTCAGCTTATAAATTATAAGGGCCAAATATATCACTATTATCTCATTTTTATGTATTTATAAATATTCTTTTTGAAGCAAACGAAAAGTGTTCCCAAGCACAAATAGTCAACATAGTTTAAAAGAAGTCTACGATTACAATTGTTTTCCCCATATGATGCTTTTGAAGGTTGCATAAATACATTTTTCCGAAGTCATTCGATATTTTCTGAGTCACCTTCTGAAATATTCTTGATAAGAACTGATTTGACACACTAGTTTACCAATGCTGAAAGGACTGGAGGTTGACAGCATTCTGATTTTGTGTTTTTAGGAGTGTCAGGAGCAAACTGTGAAACAGGTTAACCAGACTCAGCCCATAACTGCACAGGACTTCAAGTCCCTGGTCCGTTCAGGAGGCTGCACAGAGAAACAGGACACTGACAGGCTCTGTATGTCGGATCCCCTGGATCATGGTGAGAAACAAGCCTGTGCCTTTACCACAAAAGGTTAGACTCTGGATTTTCCCTGCACATGAAAATAGCTGGTATAAGTTTGACCGCTGTGTGTCTGTATGCGCTCTGCCAGCTGTGATTCAGTGATTTTGTTTTTCAGCAATACTCTTTATTTCTACTGCTTTTGCCACTAAGGGTTGGCTTAATCTGCTTACAGGTCTGAATCCTAACGCATGAAACGTTTACAAGGTTGTTATGCGAAATATTTCTAATAATGAAGATGATGTTGATGGCGAAGATGTTAATGAAAACAACTACCATGAAAAATCTGACTGAAAATCCGAGGCAGATGCATTTTGGTGGGTGGATGGATAGTTGGATGGAAAAAAATGTTCCTTTGGCTTTCTGCAAGATGGATCATCTGCTGGATGATATGGTTTTCTAGGGAATTATAGGCTCAGCTGCTGGTTTCCCCTTTTGTTTTATACCATTTACGATCCAAAGAAAACTGTGAGCACTAGGGAATTTGGTTTCGCTCAACGGATTTAGAATTCATTTGAAGAGATGGTCAGGCTACAGACTCTGTTCTTTCCACAGATCTGCATTGATGTGCTACGGCCCTAGCAATGGCTGTCCATCATTTGTCCTGTGCTCTAAGTCTGCTTTACCTACTTGTCTAAGGGGCTGTGTTTCCTGTTTTGTGATTGGATTGAGCAAAAACGGTTTCCATGCTGTTAAGAGGCCCCATCATTCTGTGATGAGTGGCATGTGGCTTCCTGGAATCAAAAGCCACTCAAGTTTGGAACTGTGGTGAACCCTCCATCATCTAGGGCATTGCCTGTCCCTGAACATCTGTGGGCCACCCCACTGGTGATATTGACTGGCAGCAGCCATGACTGGTCAGTCTTTCCCTGCTGGGTACATTTGCACAGGAAGTCTGACAGAATGTCCCACAATACAGTCTGTTTATGCAGTCTATGGTCATGTTTTCATTAATGCTAAAAAAAGTCAGTATTAACACTAACTTAGTAATACTTTCACTAGTGTCAACAGTGTCACAGTTCATTCTAAACATGACATCTCTATAGGTTTCAATAAGTAATTTTGATTGATACCTTGTTTAAAATATTTGACTGTGTCAGTTAGACCAGAAGGCTGCATTTCTAATGAGCATAACCATATATACTGGAAGCAGATACATTTTAATGACAATCTAACAAAAGTCACTGCTTCCAAGCTTTGCTTAAAAGAAAATAAGTACAGAGGAAGAAAGGACACCAAAAGCATTGTCTTTCCATTACTAATCCACTACAGATTAAAGTAATAGGAGACATGCAATTAGTACATGATGGTCATAACATCTTTTGCAAAATTAATGTTATTTTCAGTTGACCTATTTTGAGAACAAATTACAATGTGTTTCTCATCAGGAAAAAAAAGTGTTCCCGAATGTTGTAAAGTAATTTTTTTATATTCAGACATTGCTCCTTTCTGAAGTAGTGTTGACTTCAGTGTCCAGTGTGGTGACTCCCTTTAACAAACAAAACAGCACACAGACTGATCACAAGCATGCAGCTTCCCAGTGCTGCTGCACTGACGCAAGAGCCTGGAGGTGTGTGTGGGGATCTGTTCCATCAGTCATCTTGAAGCTGGAGCAGAGGTCTGTGGTGACATGGGGATTTTTAAATTGACTGCCTAATACCCCACCATAAATTTAACTGGGATCTCAGGGCTAGCTGAGGCAAACTAATCGAATCAATTATTAAAGGATTTATAAACTGGAATAAGGGTAAACATGCAATATAAATATTTATGGGTTTCTTTTTGTTCTCAAAATATACTTAAAATGCACACAGAGAAAAATAGTAATAAATTCTTGCAAATATAATTCTAGTACTATAATTTTGCAAAAAAAAAAAAGAAAGCCAGTGAAATTATATTGTTAGTTTTAATTATCTGACAAGATGAAAATAAACATACCTCTCTCTTTGAGGTCTCTATGTCAGCCAGGTTTTGATAAAAATGCTTTAAAAAGATGTGTATATATCATCCGTAATTCAAAAAAATGGATCATCATTGGAAGAGAGTAAATACTTTTGCGAGGCACTATATTTATAAAGCACTTTGGAATCCTATTGAAGAAAAAGTGCTTTACAGATCTGAGGAATTTTCTTATTATTTTATTGGCTTTTTTATTATTGTCCATCATGGCATTCTTCCATTAATAAGGAAGATATTGTAGAAGATGATACCTTGGAGTTTGCACTGAAATGTTAGTAGCAGTAAAATGTTTTCATATATTTCAGGAAATAAAATGTATATAATTGCTTCTTTATTCCTATATATGATTTTTTTTTTAATTATGTGGCCATTAGAAGTTTGTTTCAAACTAATCTTATGTATAAAGTTAGAAACAGAATTTATTCAAGAAGAGTTAGTGAATTACAGCAACTTGATATAATAGACCATCTGTTATTCAGGATAATATCATACAGTGTGAATTAAAAAGTGTTCATTATGCAAATAACTATCAGAGTAGGAATTCTGTTGTGAGTTTGCAGATAACATTAATATTTAATTTGATGTTCTTATAACTCTGACAATATTATGCACAAAACACTTGATACCCATAGTGAAATTCTGAATTACTTGCACACTAAAGAGAACTTAAAGGCAGCAATTACACACAAAGATGTTCTGTAGCTGATTTTTTCAGTGTATTACATAGTTTATATGTGCACTAGTAGAAAGAGATTAAACACAGTGAAGAACATAATGAACATGTTGTTAAACAGGATATAAACTGCCAGTGTTTAAGAATGGATTACATACTTTATTTGCTGGGTCTTACTTAAATTATTCTTTAAAAAATTATGTGCACCACAATTATTATAATCATGTGTACTGGCCACATGAAAATCTCCCTGCATACATTTTAAATATCCACAGAGGAAAATATTGCCTTTAAGCTTTACCTCTGTGGAGGACTCATTAATTATTACTGTCTGTTGCAGTCTCTTCCTCCCTGAAAGACATTTGAATGTCTGCAGAATCTCTAAATGTCATTATATGAATCTCAAGTCTAAAGTGCTACATTAGCCATTTGTGTTGTTGATCCATCTCAGTAACTTCATTTAAGGAATCACTGCAAATTTATCAAGTGGCCGATGCAATTTCAAGGCTAAAAAAATATACATTAGAAAAGACAAAATATTCAAAATAGTGTATTAGGTTGATTGCCGTGGCCATTAACATTCATGCTATTCAAGCCACTTTTCAAGTTCAGGAATTGCAGATATTTTAATTATGAAATGAGAGAGAGATTGAAGTGAAATTTGTATCTGGGTGCACATTACTCCTTCCGATAAATTCTTTTTTTTTTTTTTAAATAACCTGTATTGTGATCATTCTAAATGAATTCATAGGTATACTTTGAATATACCTACAGTGTACTTTGATTATTAAAAGTATGTTTTACCTCCGATGTGGAGCTCTCAGTCGTAAATAGTATATACTGTTTGGTATTACACTATAATATCCATCCATTCATTTCTTAACTGCTTTAACCAACACATGGTTCTGGGGGAGCCGAAGCCTATCCCAGCAAGCAGTGTTGCAAGGCAGGACACACTATGGATGGGACACCAGTCTACGTAAACACAGAGAGAACGTGCACACTCCACACAGACAGCACCCCAAGAGTTGAACCCAGGGCCCTACTCTGTAATATACTATGTAGGAACAAGTACAGGTTTATTCCATGCTGAAAAGAGAAGAAAGGAGAACAGCGTTTTGGCTGTGGAGCCTTTTTCGGGTGTAGAATCACACCCGAAGAAGGCTCCAGTACATTCCTGTATTTTGATTACATTTAACATTAGCTACTGCACAGTCCTGCTTTCAAACATGTAATGCAATATAGTTATTTGTTATATAATAACTAATAGTTATTATAACTTTTAGTTTATGGGTTGTTGTACAGTGGTCATCTTAAATATTCATTAGAATATTTGTGGAGTTTGAGCTTTTCCTAGGACATGTAATGTTTCTGCTCTACAAAAGAAAGACGGGAATCCGCAATAACAATTTGATGTGTGACTGGAAGGCAGAGCAGTATTCCAACACCAAATCTCAGACATAAACCAATCTCTCACTGGAGCTTTATGAATTGAGGCTAAATACACACACATAGTTCAGGTGGGGAGCTGTGTCAGCATGCGCAGGCTGCAAAGGAACAAGTAGTAGGTTTATTGCAGGCTGAAAAAAAGAAGAAGGAAAACGCAACATTTCGGCCGTGGAGCCTTCTTCAGGTGTGAGCACATATTTACACGTTTTCAAAGGCGAATGCAACAAGAAACAGCCCAACTAATTCATGAATTTAAGAGACAAAGGTACTGGTTTTATAGCATTGTGGAACAATAAGAACAAAATGTATGACTGTACAACACATGTTGAAATCGTGGTGATCTGGTCACCAAACATATAATAACAATGTTTCATGTCATATGGTCTGCTGGTTTCCTCAATGTAAAATTCAAACCAGATTGAGTTGTTTGTCACATGGAAGAGTTCCCAGAGAAAAAGAAAAAACCCTCTTTTTTTTCGTTCTTGAGTTTCCAGGGACACTAAATCAATCTTGGTGCAAGAGTCAGCCCTCTGTGAGTTCTTTGTGAATTTGCTGTTGTCAGTACTGGGCAAAATTATCTTCTTTGACTTCCTTAACTAACTCCTACATCCTACATCTGTACATTTCTGCTTCATAATTATCTCTTTAGGGACATTTTTTTTTTCCCCGATGGTGAAAAGTTGTTACTTGAAGAGTCTGTCAGAGTCTAATTTCCATTGGAGAGCAAGTGTAACATTTTAATGGATCATTTGTTTTACCTGCTGAGTTAATGTTCATTGAGCTTGTGCAAAGCCCGTTTTAGGCTGTATTGCTAGTCCGCGTTCTACTGATAAAAGATCTGCTTATAAAAGAGACTGTGAGTGTGTGTAATGTGGTTCTTTACTTTGAGGAATATCGCCTTACTGAAGACTATACGATCAGAGAACGCTGT